ATTTTTTTATTTTTCTGAACTTTCTTGGTTTCAGCTGCATAAGGGATTGTTTATGACTTATGAGGCTGTTTTAATCGGGAAAATCAGAACTTTTTTCGTTTTTTATTTCCTGTTTTGGAACTGACAAATTTTGATATATATATTTTTTCTGTAAACAGGAGGTTTAGAGCCTAATGTCTGTATGATGGATTCCATGTGCAAATTTGAAGTTGAATGTAATGTGTGAGTTGAAATAAAGTGAAATTTGTGACTTTTTGCTGTATAGGATTGGTCTGGTTACCAGCTCCTATCGTGTAGTTCTATTAAATTCATATTAAAGCTTAAAATTAAAAAGAAAATGGTGGTTTGTTTAAAAAAATTGAAGGGTGCATGGCCGTATTGGATCGAAGTATGAGCTTTCTTTGTGCGTCAGAAAAATTGGGTTGGGGTGAAAGATTTGTTGGTCCATAGTAAGTTGTAATTGGTGTAGGAGTTCAAGTATTCAATGGATCATTTGATAATTTACTGTTGGTTTTGGTTAATTCGGTAAATTGAAATTTCCAATTTATACATCAGAAAGAGGGTTTGAACGATGGAAGGTGCAGATTCAACGGATGGTAGTCTAGACATTGATTTGGAGAATGGGGGAACTAAGAGCGAAGAAAATGGAAGCAAATCCCAAGGTTTGGGTGGTGGGAATTCAAAGAAATTGTTGAGTAGGGTGAGAAGTGGGTTTCTGAGAGGAGAGTCACCAGATGGATCTAAAAGCACTAGGGATCGTTCTCATTCGTATGATAAATTGTTGGATTTGGATGAGGTTTCTTTGACGAATATGGAGTTTAAGTTTGGAAATGCTAGGAATGAGACGATAAATAATTTGGATAAGGAGAAGTCTAAAAAGCCAAATTGTGTAAAGCCTTCAAAGCCACCCCGGCCTCCCAAAGGTCCCTCATTGGATGCTGCAGACTTGAAGATGCTCAAGGAAATCTCCATGCTCAACTTGAAACGCAAACGGATGGAAAAAATTAGGACCTTAAAGACGATTAAGAAGGAGAAGGCATCCTCGTTGAGTACAAATCTTTTTGCCATATTTGTCACCATAATCTTCTTTTATGTGATTATATTTCAAGGTAATAGCTTCATGATTTTGGTGCTTGTGATATTTTTCTTTTACGCTGTTGAATTTATGTCACTTCTTGAAATTCCT